AGCCAAACCCCGTTCCCTACCCTTCGATCGTTGCAGCATCAACATTAATTTTGAAGATCCCTTCTGGAGGTCGTTCCCATTGAATGGTCACTGATGGGATTCGCGGAGTTTCCATCTTCACTTGCTGCTGACAGTATTCCTCCAGGTAATTTTCCGCTCTGCTCACCACTTCTCATTCTTCTAGTTTAGGGTTGTTGAAGATTTGATTGTTCCTTTCCTTCCATAGGAACAATATGGTGATTAGAATTGAACATAGCTCGTCCTTGGTTGATTGGTCAATTAGGTCTGCTAGCCATTCTTCACAACTCTTCCCTTCCCCTAAATTGAACAGCTTCTAAAGGAAGCTTGGTCTCCAAATTTGCCCTGCCCAGTCACAATCTCTTGTTATGTGCTATTGTGTTTCGAGGAGGCCACAAAATTGACACGCATCATTCGCCTCATTCATCCTGCGAGATAGATAAGATCCTGTAGGCAGAATGTTGCTACCCTACCTCCAAACAAATACTCGTACTTTTTGTGGTAAATCCAACATCCATAGTTGCTTCCAGTCAACAGGGGTGTATCTTTCTTCTTGGTTTTCCTCTTGTTTCTTCCACCATTCCTTATATCCTGACCTGACTGTATATTTCCCAGATTTATCATTCCTCCAAACTCTGACATCAGGTCTTGGCTCAGATGGGATTGGGATTTGATAGATTCTTTCTCAGTCAATTGGTTGGAAATGGGATTGCAAAACATTACTTTTCCATGACCGAGTCTCTGGATCTATCAAACTCGACACCTTCTCAGTTACACTCAGGCTAGATATTAAGGATTGGATTTTAAAATCCGCAGCTGCATGAATCCAACAATCCCACCACACCCTCACACTATCATCATCACCTATTATCCATCTTGTCCCCTCTCGAATCAGTCTTGAGCTTGTTTAAGGCTTCTCCATATGTAGCTGGGGTTGTTGCCTAGCTCTGGTTCTAGCACATCACAGAAAGGGTAGTATCGAGCTTTTAGTACTCTAGCAACTAGAGAGTTGGGATTTTTAGTGAGGTTCCATATCTGTCTTCCTAGTAATGCAATGTTGAAACCATGGAGATTTCTAAATCCCATTCCGCCTTCATATTTGGGGCGACATAGTTTCTCCCAACTCATCCAGTGGATTCGTCGTTCCTCTCTTTTCCTGCCCCACCAAAAGCTAGCTATTAAGCTTTGTATCTCCTGTATTACCCCTTGGGGTATTAGAAATACAAACATAGCATACAAAGTTTGTGCTTGGGCTACAACTTTGATTATCACTTCTTTAGCTGCATTTGATAGGAGCTTTCCCTTCCACGTCTTAATTTTGTTCCTGACTCGATCTATGAGCTGTGTAAAGACTTCCTTTTTTGCTCTACCAATGACAGTAGGAAGTCCTAGGTATTTGTCATGGTACATCACTGTTTTCATTCCCAAAATCTCAGCCATCCTGGCCCTGTATGCCTCATCCACATTGGTTCTGAAGGATAGCTCTGATTTATTGAGGTTTACCTGTTGCCCAGAAGCCTTTTCATAGCTTTTGAGGATTTTTTTTAGAGCTTCCCCCTCTGATCTTTAGTTTTAAAAAAAGAATATGTTGTCATCAGCAAAGAATATGTGTGAGATCATAGGCACTGCATTACTGATCTTGATTCCCTTCAACTTTCCTTCTTCCACTGCTTTTCTCGTGATAGCTGATAACCCTTCTGCACAAAGCAGGAATAGATACGGGGAGATAGGATCTCCTTGTCTCAAACCTCGGGAGGGTTTAAAGGTTTCTGTTTGGTGACCATTCACCAGAGCTGAGTAGCTCATTGTAGTCACACAACTCCTAATGATTCTGACCCACTCCTCATTAGAACCAAGTTTCAGCATGATCCCCTTCAAGAAATTCCACTATACCCTATCGTACGTTTTAGCTATATCTAGCTTAGCTGCTACATACCCCTTTTTTCCTTCTCTTGTGTTCTTCATAGCGTGGAAAAACTCGAATCCCACCATTATATTATCTGTTATATTCCATCCAGGCACAAACGCACTTTGGGTTTCAGTTATTACCTCATCTAACATCCTTTTTCATTCTGTTTGCAAGTACCTTGGATAGTGGGCTTCTTAGTTTTAGGGTAAGTGCAATCAGTGTGTGATTTAGAGATTGGGGCACTATCCCAGTAATGAGAATCCTTTGGTGTTCTTCACACACTGCATCACCCACCACTCCCCAGTTTTTCTGATAGAATAATGTTGGCATCCCATCTGATCCATACGCTTTGGTTGGTGCCATCAACTTTAGAGCCCCCAAATCTCTTCCCTTGTGAATGGACGCATTAGCTCTGCATTCATCTCTGGCGTAACCTTTGTTTCCACTGCATCTAATACTTCTTCTAGGGTTGGTGTTGTTCCTGTAGTATACAGCTTTATTAGATGTTTCATAAAACAATGCATCACTTCCTCTTGTCCCTTGTATTCAATTCCACCTTCCCTTGCAGAGCTTTGACAGTGTTTCTCTTATCTCCTTCTCGTAACCAATCAGTTCTGGATCTCTGATGCTCTAAAACACAACACCTAACAAAGGCCAAGTGTAACCAATGAAAGGGACTGCAGTATAGTGGCTCAAGTGATAAATATCGAATCCACGGGTCTCTAGAGTTACTATTACTCAACTTCAGTTTATTATTTAGCAAATCATATTAAGATGAAAGAACTAAATCTACTCTAGCAAACTACAGTTTAAGTTAATCTAATTACAGGTTGGGAACTCACTTAGATATGATTCCCCCTAGCCACTAGCCAGATTAATGATTGATGATCTCTAACCTGTTTCACTTTCATTCACAATGCGGAGAATCCTTGACTAGACCTTGAGTCTCGACTAAAGGAACAAGGCCCTCTTGAGTCAATTGCCTAGAGGGACGTATCCTTCTCTAGAACAACTGATCAAGGCGTTCTGAACTAGACTCCTCAATCGAAAGAGGTTCTCAATCGATACAAAGCAGTGAATCAACTCTTGACTAAAGCAATCGATCCACTACTATCAATCTATGGTGCTCTATTGACCTAATCAGGTATTCCCTCTCATAGGATCAAAGCAGAATCAATAATCTCGACTAAAGCAGAATTGAATCATGAAAACATGCATAGATTGAATATAAACTCAAGATTATCAAGTCAGAGTACTCATACAATCATCCAATCAAACAAACATAGCTAGGGTTCCTCAAAACCTAAGTGAAGGGAAGTTACTCCATAGAGAAGAGAGAGACTGCAGTAAGAGTCTTCAAATGATCAGTCTTCAAGTCCGGGCTTGTTCCTCAAGCTTCCAAGGCGAAGAAATCCTCCTTCTCTACTCCAAGAATGCCCTCAAATCGCCCTCTCTCTCTTTGGTTCGTCCCTTGGGTGTTTGGGATCCAAAAACCCAGCTCTCCTCCTCTTTGGTTCGGAATTTGGCTTAAAACCAGGAAATCCCGACTCACACGGGCAGGGCCACACGGCCGTGTGGCCTACCCAGTTGCCCGTGTGAGGCAAAACGCACCGTATCACTTAGTCGAATTCCAGGCTTCTCACACGGCCAGAGTGGCACGGCCGTGTGTGACTTCCATCTGCCCGTGTTTGCTCTCGGCAAAACTCGCACGGCCAAGCCACTCCTTCACACGGCCGTGTGTGTTGTCAGGGCAGGCCGTGTTTGCTCTCGCACAATCTCACACGGCCAGAAATATGAGTTGCACGGCCGTGTGATTTGTGGGTGTGCCCGTGTGGCCTCCTTTGTGACTTGCCTCGCGCCCGATCTTCTCCCAATCGACCCCGAGCTCGCTCCTAAACCTTCATTCACTTGCCAGGACCTGAAATATCACAAACAAGCACAACCTAGCGTGAAATCGGTCTAAAACACGAGAAACCACATCTCAAACGGTGTAAGAACAGGGGTAAAAACATGTGTAATTAACGGTCTATCAAACTCCCCCACACTTAACCGTTTGCTTGTCCCCAAGCAAACCTAACTCAAACCAATGCAGCTCTCCAGACCTCTATAGCAACAAACAACCCAGATCGTAGGTAGAGGACTTCCTAGATCATTTAGAAACTTACGAGGTCAACCAACACACAAGTCATCTCATAGCTTCTTCGGCGAGAGCACTAGTATCGAGTCGGCATCATGGCAAATAGTGAACAGAGGACAAATGAATTGTGGATGAAGAGATTCTCAAAAACAAAAGATCATGGACTCACATTTTTCAAGGTGCTCTCTTTTTTTCTTCTTGAAGATGGTTGGAACCCCTTTTCTTTCTGTTTTGCTTGTTTTCTGTTATTTTTTTCTTTTCTTTTTTTTTCAAGGGTCCCAACCTGCTCTTACCAGCCATGCCAGGAGCGGATGTCTCGAGCCTCGTGCGGGGGAAAGACATGTAAGGGGGCTGGAGGTAGTAGGTGGAAATTGGGAACGGATTCCCGTCTCCCCTTACACACGTTCGCCCTATTCGCACGGGAGACGTTATTTTGAAGCACATTTTCGAGCAGCTGTTAAACTTAAAATATGATACAAGAGTCCATGACAGGCAGAGAATCCACAACACCACACAATTCAAGGGTTCTAAGATTACTAATTCACTCAATCAACCAACACAAAATGAAGAAGAAATGAGATTTCCTAAATGCATCAACATCCTCCATAGTGCTACACCACCTCCCTAGGTTGCATATTACTATAGAGACTGTCAATTCAAAGCATACTGAGCAGGCAATTGCAAGGAACACGTACTTGGAGCCCTCAAATTTAAAAATTTGGACAGTGGACTAGGCTCCAAGCACACAAACAGCCAAACATTCACCCGCATACATAATCGAACATCCCCCCACACTTAAGCACGACATTGTCCTCAATGGAGGAAAGATAAGGAGGGTAGAACGAAGTTACCAGATCAAGGGTGAATGATGATGAACGGGTCAGGCGGTGCCATCCAGAAAGAGAGAGTAATCAGAACACAAACACCACACAAAATCTAACAAAGGTTGAGTTATTGACTCTAAAATCAAATAGCAAACTGACTCAACCGAGGAGAAATAGAGACAGAAATGCAAACCGACTGGTTGGGTTGCCTCCCAACAAGCGCTTCTTTCACGTCGTGAGCCGGACGATGGCTCCTAAGTTTCGGTCCATGCTAGAACCTCCTTGAAGTTGAGGTTCTCGTCGATGAGGTGGAGTCTCAAGTCACGAGCATGTGGTGTGGCAGGTGATGAAGGCTCATGTACTTGATGCAGATGAAGTCTCCACCCTCGAGACCTCTCCTTCTCTTCTCTCGTCTCATTGCCCCAAACCAGATATGACAGCATCGATTGGCCACCGTCGCGTCCACCAAGAGGGACCGATGTCGAGGTGGCCTTGGTCAGGCAAAGAGACACTGCAAATGGGTCCTTGCTAAGCAGTTCCTCGAAGTTTGGTGGAGATATCACATGTAACTCATGGCCAGTGCAGGCCTCTTCCACCTTAACTCCATCCTCAGCCTGGACGCCAATTGCTTCTTCAACCCCCCTTTCTTCTTCATGTGGTATCACCCCTGGGAAATGATCAAGAACTCCTCCTGCTTCACTTTCGTCATCCTCCACAACTTCTTTCTGCACCCTTTGTTGCTCTTCTTCTTCTAGCACGGATTGGAAAGCAAGTTGCCAAGCAATTTCTTTCATGAGATCTTCTTGCAACTCCTCACTCATCCCCGCCTCTTCAAAGCGCAGTTTGGGGTGTGGGAAGGTGTGGTCGGCTACGACAGGACACTCCTGATCATGATCATCACGGGAGCTCTCCGTGACAACTTCAGTGTGCTCCACAATGTTCTTGTAGCCTTCTTCTTCCTCCTCCTCTTCTTGTATGGTAGCAGAAGGGTGATCTGGAGCAGGCTGTGCCCAAGATCGCTCAAGATCATCGACGCTCTTCTTAAGGCTCAGGAGGATCTCCTCTGTTTCACGATAGGCCTGGACACAATGATCCATCCTGGAGCATGTTCTATCACAGTCTCGAGCAAACTGCTCCATGAGAAGTCTCAATTTATATTGTGGATCTGGCTGTGGAGTATAGCATGGCTCTGCAGAATGGCCCGTGAAGGCCGCCATGGGTAACTCCAGCTCCAATGGCCCCTCTGGTTGTGGGAAAAATTCTTCTTGGTAATGAGGTTGTTCTTGATATGCCCAGGGATCCGGTTGTTCTCCGTAGTAAGGGGGTTGGTACTGGAACCCGAATCCATAGTCTTCTCTTCCTTGATTGCTCCAGGGAGTCTCGGGGTAATACCACTCAGGTGGTGGTGGATACCCCCAATGATTGGAGAAGCCATTAGGATCCATGATTCAGATCTGCACCAACAAAAACAAAAACACCCAAGTGAAAAGCAAGGGTGGAAAAGAAAAGAAAAACGCTAAAGTAACAAACTTCTGCCTTTCCTAATACTCTAGAAAGTCCCCGGCAAAGGCGCCAAAAACTTGATGCTCTAAAACACAACACCTAACAAAGGCCAAGTGTAACCAATGAAAGGGACTGCAGTATAGTGGCTCAAGTGATAAATATCGAATCCACGGGTCTCTAGAGTTACTATTACTCAGCTTCAGTTTATTATTTAGCAAATCAGATTAAGATGAAAGAACTAAATCTACTCTAGAAAACTACAGTTTAAGTTAATCTAATTACAGGTTGGGAACTCACTTAGGTATGATTCCCCCTAGCCACTAGCCAGATTAATGATTGATGATCTCTAACCTGTTTCACTTTCATTCACAATGCGGAGAATCCTTGACTAGACCTTGAGTCTCGACTAAAGGAACAAGGCCCTCTTGAGTCAATTGCCTAGAGGGACGTATCCTTCTCTAGAACAACTGATCAAGGCGTTCTGAACTAGACTCCCTCTATCGAAAGAGGTTCTCAATCGATACAAAGCAGTGAATCAACCCTTGACTAAAGCAATCGATCCACTACTATCAATCTATGGTGCTCTATTGACCTAATCAGGTATTCCCTCTCATAGGATCAAAGCAGAAAACATGAAAACATGCATAGATTGAATATGAACTCAAGATTATCAAGTCAGAGTACTCATACAATCATCCAATCAAACAAACATAGCTAGGGTTCCTCAAAACCTAAGTGAAGGGAAGTTACTCCATAGAGAAGAGAGAGACTGCAGTAAGAGTCTTCAGATGATCAGTCTTCAAGTCCGGGCTTGTTCCTCAAGCTTCCAAGGCGAAGAAATCCTCCTTCTCTACTCCAAGAATGCCCTCAAATCGCCCTCTCTCTCTCTTTGGTTCGTCCCTTGGGTGTTTGGGATCCAAAAACCCAGCTCTCCTCCTCTTTGGTTCGGAATTTGGCTTAAAACCAGGAAATCCCGACTCACACGGGCAGGGCCACACGGCCGTGTGGCCTACCCAGTTGCCCGTGTGAGGCAAAACGCACCGTATCACTTAGTCGAATTCCAGGCTTCTCACACGGCCAGAGTGGCACGGCCGTGTGTGACTTCCATCTGCCCGTGTTTGCTCTCGGCAAAACTCGCACGGCCAAGCCACTCCTTCACACGGCCGTGTGTGTTGTCAGGGCAGGCCGTGTTTGCTCTCGCACAATCTCACACGGCCAGAAATATGAGTTGCACGGCCGTGTGATTTGTGGGTGTGCCCGTGTGGCCTCCTTTGTGACTTGCCTCGCGCCCGATCTTCGCCCAATCGACCCCGAGCTCGCTCCTAAACCTTCATTCACTTGCCAGGACCTGAAATATCACAAACAAGCACAACCTAGCGTGAAATCTGTCTAAAACACGAGAAACCACATCTCAAACGGTGTAAGAACAGGGGTAAAAACATGTGTAATTAACGGTCTATCAATCTCTGTCTCCATTTCTGCTCTTCGAGAAGTAGCACTTCATTCCGCTCTTTTTCCAGAGCTCGGCGTTGTAATATTACTGCCTTGTTCTTCCTTTGTTTTGCAATTTTTGCTAAAGCATGTTCTATCTTTCTCTTCATGGTCTTCAAACTTCCAAAAGTTTTTTTACTCCATTCGAGCAACACCTTTTCACATCCCTTAATTCTGTCCTCGAGGGATCTAGTAGGATCTCTTAGCCATTCAGCCTCAATAAGAGGCTTGCATTCTTCATGTGTCTGCCAATGCTTCAAATCTGAAATGCCACCCCCACTTGACCTTTTCCTCCGTTAAATTTAGCTCCACTCGTATATGGAGATTATCTGAAACCCATCTCTCAAGATGGTAGACTCTTGCTTCAGGGAACCATTCTTTCCATGCTCCATTTTCAATTGCCCTGTCTAATCTAGAAAAGTCTCATCAACTCTTCCATTATCCCATGTAAAGGTATTACCATAGTAGCCTAGATCCTCCAAGTGGCATTCATCCAAAGTAGCTTGGAAGGCTTCCATGTTGTGAATGTGGGGGATTTTGGTCATTCTTTTCTTCATAGCTTAATACCTGATTAAAGTCTCCACATAAAATCCATGGCATATCCTCCTGTCCATGAAGTCTCCTGATTAGATCCCAAGTTTGGGTCTTATTTTCCTACTTTGGCCACCCATATATCCATGTTAGTCTCCAAGTGCGCTCGTCTGGACCTTCAGTAATCCAGGCATCAATGTAATTTCGAGTTTAAGCCTTGATGGTAACTCGGATGTCTTCCTTCCATAACAGCAGTAGGCCTCCTGCTCTATCTCTTGACCAACTCCCTTTCCTTTAGTCCATCCCAGCTTTTGGATGATCTCCTCTATTTCATGCTCCTGTTTCTTAGTCTCCAGTAAGAAGACTTTACTGGGGTCTTGTTCTCTAAGTAGTGTAGCTACTCTATCAATTGTCGTGGGGTTCCTCAACCCACGACAGTTGTAACTTATTATGCTCATTGGGCTAGGCGACCCTGATGCTATTCAGGGTCCGCCACTCCGCCGTCCAGTTTTCCAAGGTTCTCCTGCATTCCTATTGTTCTCCCATCTAGGAGTTTTTCTTGTTTCTCAATAGGGCCATCTCCCGATTTCTCCTGCAAAGTTGTCGTTTCATTCTGTACTGAGAAGTTGAGTGTTCTGGCTCTTTTGGTATTTGCCTCACCAATTGGTTCTTTAGCTACCTGTTTTTGAATTGCCTCAACTGTTCTTTTTTGTGGGGTTACTTGTGCCCCTGTCTTGCTCCTTGGGGGGTTTTGTTCTTGCCTTCTCCAGACTCTGCCTGTGTTCCTTCTTTCTTTTGGCCCTGCCACACCTCCCATTACAAACCTCTGAAGGGCCCCTTCTTGAGAAGCCTTTCCTTTTGGGATAGCACTTGTCTGTATTGGTTTGTCGCCATTAGTATTGCTTGTACCTGCTGTTCTATTTCCACTCCTTGGTCCATTGTTGTATTTTGTTGATAGTTCTCCTTCTCAGTATTCCTGAGATCCCTTTGTTCTCCTTTGGTTGTTTCCACTTCTTGTGGTAGAGTCGTATCATAGTCTGAGTTTGACCCCTTGCTTTCCATCTCGGATTTTTTCCTTAACTGTGCCCAGATTTTTGCATCTTCTTTCCTTGCTGCCCTAGATAACCAATTTCTTGGTCTAGGACTGTCTGTCCTCAGCTCCATTCCATATGGATCCACTGCTAGCTGTGAAGGATTTCCACAACATAGTTTAGGATGCCTTATTCGACCACAGGAATAGCATAATAGAGGTAGCTTTTCATACTTCACTTGGTACTCCTCCAGTTTCCCTTTTATGTTGAATTTGATCTTCTTCTTCAGAGGATTGTTTATAGACAGACTGATTCGGATGCGCATATGTTCATCCCATAGATACCATGTATCATCAAACCACACAAGCTCACCAAATATGCCTGCTATTTTACCTGCCATCTGTGGTGTTCTCAGTTCCGCTGGGAATCCTCTGATTTGGACCCAGATATCAAGCATATGCAGCTCTTCTGGCTTAGGTTTTTTATATGTATGCACTCTTTAAAGATAATGACATTATTCTCATAATGCCATGGTCCTCCAAAGATAACTTTATTCTTATCGTCCATATCAAGAAACTGGAACGCAAACATCTTGTTCTGCAGATCTGTAATTTGGAAGCTTTTTCTTACGTTCCACGCTTTCTCTAATGCTATCTTCATTGATTTCAGGTTTGGTTGTTTCTCAGCAATCAGTCCCAACTTCCTGACCGCTTCCATTCTCACCACATCCACGTCAGAATCTTCTACTTCTAGTGGGGGTTCGTCGTCTTCAGCAATCGTTATCTTGTCCAACTGTTCCTCCAGCCCTAGAGTTATGTTGGTTGCTCCTCCTGAGTCTGAATCTTCAGCTGGTCTTTTTCCTTCAGAATTGTGTACCTCTCGGGTATCTATGATCTCTCTTATAGTCTTTCTTGGGTTTGAAGCAAAGCTCCAGATTCTCGGTGTAAAACTGTATTGTCGAGTCTCAAGATGTCCTTCTCCACTTAAGAAGCAACTCTTAATCTTCGCCTTCTTTCAAAGTTATAGAAACAAGAATTGTAGTCCTTCTCACTCTCAGCAATCTTGAAGTAGTATCAATGGTATGAACTCGGAAAACCCTAGGTTTCCGCCGCCTCTCAAGACTCTCGCTCAACGAGAGAGAGAGAAATTTCAAAATATGTCAATTGTTTGCAGAATTTGATTACAGGTACACGCTAGTTTTTTTCTCTATTGCCTACATATTTGTTTATATACACATTTGTGGTTTGCCCTAAGCTGATAATATTGGAATTTTGAGTATTAAAAAATGAGGCATCTTAATCTTAGCAAACTTTTAAAAAACTTTTAAAAGAATTCAATCAACTGAATAACTCAAAAAACTTAAAGTAATATGTGCTTTCATTGAGAAGACCTCCCGCTTACTAAACAGGTGCTCTAACCAACTGAGCTATGAAAGCCTTACATGTCATTAATTGGTCAGTAATAATTTAATATATCTATACAAATCTTTCTAATAACAAAGTTAAAACATACACAAACTCAATCATCCTACTCACGCATCAACCCATATTAAATATTCTAGTTACTTGACGAATTCAAACACAATACTTCTTGTTCGATAAAAAACCTCAACTTCCTGCTAATACCAGCTGTAATCCATGTTCAAAGATCAAATCTCATAGCACATTAAACCTCATTAATTATTTCTATAGGATTCAATTCCGGTACACATTTTGCATGCTACCAACACTAGCTATATATTATATATGTAAAACCAATTTAAACGGCCGGACTGCTTGCTGTGGGCTGCCAATGGCCGCTTCCTAGCTGCCTCAAACGGCAACAGCCAGCCAACAGTGCCTGCCTTCCCTTTGTCGTTTGCAGTGGAAATACGTACAAGTGTAATTCTTGTGTACGTGGATATATATACCGAGTCTGAGTGAGTGGTCACCGGCGGGTCGCAGTTGCAGGCAAACCGGCCGGCAGGGCAGTCAGGGAATCCAGTCGGTCAGTATATACAGTACGTACCTTTTGGGTTGCCGGGGGTTTGGTTATTTACTAAATCAAGCCCAAAAAAAGGAAAAAGTAAAAAAACAAAAAACAAAATTGATCAGTTTCCGTACAGATTTCACACTGATCAAAATCGAAGAAGATGGCATTGATTGACCATGCTTGTTTTACGTCTTTACCAGTGACATTTCATTGCAGTCAAGCCAACTTAAAGTGGTAAGCTTTATTGGAATCAATCACGCAGGTATGTGAATATATAGTGCCAATAATTTAAGGTAAGTATGACAATCTCAACCCAACTGATTCGGTTTGGTTTGGATTGGTCTATTTTGAAGTGGTTACAATTAAATTAGTATGGTTCAGTTTATCACTCCTCTCTTCCTCCCCCAATTTCTTTTAAAGCCCGCTACCAGTTCAGTTCTTATTCTAAACCTCCATTCTTTTAATTCGCTCGTAAACAACTCTTTATTCTCTCGATCTCAGTCTCTATTCTCGGTTTAGTTTTCTAAATTACTAATTTTAATTTACTCCATATCAAACTTTAACAAAAACATCGATGAGACTTCCTCGGCTTCTTTCCGAATAATACAAGATTAAATGCTAGATTAACAAATGAAAATGATAGACAAGATTATGAGTGTCGAAAACCTGACCCATTACCTTACCAATAGGCAATAGCTAGCTTTGAAAGGAACTTGTGCATGTAGGTATTTAAACAAGGTGGTCGGTGGTCGCTGGCCAACCCGATTCCACAAAAACTCGGCATGGCGGAGCCCCACTGCTGTGCATGAAATGAAATGGAACCCTGGCCTGACCTGGTCTGGTCTGGTTCACTCTCACTTGTCACTATACCAGGCAAATGGCAATGGAGGGGACGAGAGATGTTTCGTTAAGGATATATATATAAAAGCTGCAAAACAACACATGCAGCAAAACAGTTGGGAGTGGTGGACTGGTGTGTGGTGTGGGTCTATATTTTTCCCAATTCTGGAGGCAACTCAACGATGTCCCATAATGATACGTATTGCCTTTTCTTTATAAGACCAATCGAAATAATATTATCCTAAACTATATTCAAATTAAAATTAAAATCAATAGAAATTTCTATAATTAGGTGATGACTTACTTTGTTGTATCTCATATTCCCCTGTCTCCTACTTGTCGACTCTTTCATATACACCCACAATTACGATATTGCAATGTTGCCATCATGCATGTAACCCTCACTATGGTACTATATTAGCTAGTATTGGCATTGGCTACCATTATGATGTGATTGGACCATCATTTGGATAAGGCATTTAGTATATCACTTGTCTAATTAAACCCATGAAGAATGAATAGTAGATGTGACTTAGTTGGACTCTAAAAGCATACAAGGATAAAGAAGTGTTTACGACTTAGCGTACGTATTCTTAGATTATTTAACAGCGAATAAATGAATGTTTATCATGAAAAAAAATAAAGTTATGCATGACTTGATATAATAAATTGCCAACCTATATAAATTACTCTCCACCAAGGTTGTCAAACCGGTTTGTGCCAGTGTGCCGGTTTAGCAAGTGGAATGGTTCGACCAGTGGTACATACCGGTTTGTGTCGGTTCATGCCGGTTAATATTACAAATAATTTACAAATACTCATATTTAAGCATGACATTTAACGTCAATACCTAAATATTTGTACTTGAATCCAACAAATAACATCAACATTTAACTTTTTAACACATAAAATAAATAATAAATTACTTTTTATCAAATAAATTCACTAATATAAGATCATTTTACTTAGAGATTCGTATATCGATCATGCCGGTCATACCGGTGGTGTCATACCGATTTTATGACCGATACTGGTTGAACCAGGTTCAACCAGTGGCACGCTTACCGGCATGACAACCACTCTTAAGAGTTCATGCCTTCACCAATTTCTAGCTGAAATAAGTAAATAGTACCCAAAAAAATTTGATGGAAAGAATCACCTCTCAACTCAAACGTAACCACACCATGTTCCCATTTAAATATGTTGTTCCCCGACCACAATTAGCCCATAATATTGATTTACCTTTTACATCTTTCTATGATATCTTCTCTGATCCCGAGTTGCCTCTCCCTTCCCTAGTCCCTTTAAAGTTTAACCCCACTTTGTTTGTTCTTTTTCCCCTTCTTCCAATTTTCCATCCTTTTGGCTTTCAACCTGGTCCAAAACAAGCGAAGATGGCCAAAAAAGAAAAAGTAAGACATGAAGAAATGACTTCTTAAAGAAATATCGAGAGAATTTGCATGGAATATATCAAACAAAACAACAAATTGTGTGTTTGAACCTTGAGGTATTTCGCATTAATCAATTTGACTGTACGTGTTTCCCCCTCCCCCCTCCCTTTCTATATAAGGGCCTCGATCAATTAATTTAGATGTATGATCGTTTGGATGAATCAATCTAGAAATGAGTCAATTAGATCAATTGTCTCGTTTTATAAACGATGCAATTAAAATGAGTCAATTAGAATTACCTGCCCCCACCTCAGGTAATTGAAATTGACTCAAAACGGATAAATTCAAAATATCTCAGGTAGATTGATCCATCCAAATTTTTTGCTGGCAAACGAGGTAATTTGTTACAATTGTCTCAAAACGAGACAATTGTATCAAATTGATCTGTTACAATTCCTCATCCAAACGACAACATTCATGATTTCATCCTTTGAATGGTTTTATGTGGAGTAAAATTCACATTTTGACGATTATATGTCTTAAGTATCTAAGTTAAAAACTTGATAGGGCAAAAGCGTAATGCTTCAATTCCTATCTTGTAGTAAAACCGGGAAGTCCGGGTATCGTCTCTCAGGGATTGGTACAACCTTAAATTATATCAATTCCATGGAGCAAACTATAGGTGAAAAGAATTTAAAGTGACTAATTTCTAAAAGCAAAATAAACTAAACAAGTAAGCAAATGAAAACTGTCGGGAGAAATTCAATGGAGAAAGATCTGGGGAGAAACACCGGAATTCACTATCTATCATATCCAAATCAATTCACTTTTCTGATAAATTTAATCCATATCTCTACAGCCAGGATATCACTACTGTGCTAGCTATCCCTATCGGGAATTACTACGTACTAAACAATCAATTCAAATCATACTGTCGTAGCTCAATGAATTATTTATATAGCCTGAAGACCGATATCCCAATCAAGACCACATAGTACCTTATTTAATCCACTGTCGCTTCGATAAGTTACTATGTCACATGAAATATGTTCAGTCATTAGGGTTTCACTGTCGCTAATAACCTAATTAACTACAAATCAATGTATTGGTGGCCAGTCAACACAAAGCATTAAGCGATTTCATGCAATAGAGATTGAAAGAAAAGAAATATGAATCAATCCATCAAATATAGAAATAGCTACATCCTATGGTGTTTCCCCCAGAAATTGGGGTTTAGTTCATGACGAAAATAAAACACACAATCATGTTTATAATCATCATCCAACTAATCACAAGAAAAGAAAATACTGATTATGAATTGTGCCCGACGATCAGTTGTTCTCGTGCCCAGCTCGTCACGTAAGAATTTTAGACTCGCCTGTCGCTGGGCTGCTCTCGGTGCTGCTGCTATTGTCCTCCCCAAGGAATTCGTTCCGTCCAATATAATTCCCCCCCCCCCCGGTCCGCGCTGCCCTCCAATTCTCTAATTATTTCATCCCAAAAATAATTCTCTCCTGCCAATAAATCCCCCCTGCCAATTACGTATCCCAATTCTCCTCTCCAATAGCTGCTCCGCCCTTCTCCTTTTGCTTCCGTCCAAGTAATTCCCCCGATCCAAATAATTGCTCCCTCCTCTATTCCGTGTGTCCTCAGCCCGTAAACCCACCAAAGCTTTCCATAAGCCCAATTAATTAAGCTTTGTTATCAAAGAATCCATGATACCCATCCGGTCCACCTTAATTATCTCATCCAGCAATGTAAATTTCTCATTTCATTTACCTGAAACATATAAAATATTTGCACTCGGCGGTAATGGTTTTATAGCCATTCCAAGGTTAGTTGGTCTTAAACAAGTATTATATATCTCAAACACATCATAAGATAATTGCGTTCACCGCACAAAATCAATATGTTTTCGACAATTATCAGTTGATAAGTGATTATGTATACCAAAATAGTGTACTAATTATCAGAAGTATGCAACAAACTTATAGTGTCATCTTCCACTACATAACAATGTCGTTGTTGACGGGAGATAATGCTAGGCTGATATGGGATGCGATCAAGCGCATATATACTACTAGCTTTTTGCCCGGAGAGTTTCATTTTATCGTTGACATTAATTCAATTTATCTATATGTTTAAACTATTTTAGACCTTCTAAATTTATTATATTTTGTATTAATAAGTGAGTATGTGGTGTGTCTATATATTGAAAATTCTCAATATTTAGTACATTCACTTATGTTTGAATTCTCTAATCATAAACCATGTCACAAAGGTATACCACGTCCCATGTACAATTTTTTCTATCTTATATGAATCCATGTTGTTCAGATGAGGACATCTTAGTTAGAGTTTCTTTGTACATATACTTCATTATTGGATAAATTTCTACATCCCAATTAAAAGTTGACACTTTGGATGTTCATGAAGTTTACTGTAAGATCTTATTTGTATTTAGTCTCTTATACAATATGTATCAATTGCTAATTTTTTAAATTTAATTTGGACTAACTGAGACTCATTGTCGTTGTTTATACATTATTTTAGAATCTCAATCCAAGATACTCACATACGGATTTTGATATTAATATGGTGCGTTAGTGTATAATTTTACAACTTGTAGAACCTTCGTTTTCTAAATTTTATTTATGTTTGGTATTAGTTTAGAAATAAAAATTTCATTAGTTATACTAATATTTGCATTTTTCTGTATTGCCACATTTATTGTCAATATATAAGCATATATATTAAAAAGAGTTTAATTATTTTTAAGTGTAATTAATACTTATTTTTTACTAGGATTTGTAAAATGTTAAGAAAATAAAGGGAAATATGAACAATTGTAAAAGAAAATAAGGGATGGAAGGACACATTATAAGTGAGAGAAAAGTTATTCTTACTTATCATCTTCATTTATCCAATGAGGTGATCTATTCTTGCTCCATTGAATTTTTATCAAATTATTTTATTCCGTAAATATATTATTAGTTATGCATGTGTTTTATTGTAAAAAAATGCATGTGTTTGCTAAGAAAGATCATATCTCTTACGATGATCAACTTCTCTAATCTTGCCTCATTTTCATGTGAATTTTCATGAAGTCTCCTAACGATCTTATGTTAACATATGTCTATCAAGAGACCCAAATTTTGTATATTATATAACAGAGTAAATACATTTTATTAATCAAATATTTCAAAAAAAATTCAAAATACAAAGTATTAGCCAAAACGTTAACTCCCCGTTAGCATTTTTATGTGAATTCAAAATACAATGTTTACTCAACAACATGATGATGAGTTGGAAGAGACACGTGACGGCCTATAATCCAATTTAGTATTTTAATTAAAAAAGAGTTACAAAATTATTAATGATAACGAACAAATGGTTAATATTTTGATGTGATACAAAATATTTGGCTAATCATTTATAGTTTGAAAGGTTTGGCTAATAATTTAAAAAAACTGAAAGGTTTAGCTATTTAAATGTTATTTACTCAATATGTATCAATTGCTAAGTTGTCTCCTCCCACATTTTGTCACGGCCACTACTGAAGATCTATACCAGATCTGCTCTGTCCAATTCTCACCTTTGTCCACCAATTCACGGCCCATATAGTAACATCGCCAGCTGAATTTTAAATTGTCCTCCTGCACCATTTCTCACAGGCGCCACCAAATTGTAGACATTGTTAGTTTCGTCTACCCGGGTATTTCCACTCTCTATTGCATTTAACACCCGTTATTTGGTTTGCTTTCCTTCACTCAAAATTTCTTCTCCTAACGACAAATCAAAAGGTAATGGCCTAACACCTACTTAGCATATGACGTAAACTGAAAATTTACTTAATAAGATTTATTCAAATATTTTTGTTTAAACAATCGCGATACATGTCAGCCTAACATTAGTATACTATTGCTACACATATATACTACAAAAGGTACAAATGAATTATTAAATAAAAACAAAAGAAAACATTAAATGAAGATAGAGATAGCTACATAAATTGAGCATTAACTTACTTTTGTGTTTGTAAAAAAAGTGTCAACCATGATAATTTGTAAATTCTTCAAGTGCTTATGTGGCAACAAACTATTGTTGAATTGTCATAGATAGATAGATTTTAAACCTTTATTTGATTAATGCATAGGTCAGTGGTTGATGAACACATGATGTTTAACATACAGTTTAGCAAAGATTCATCTAACTTTCACATGTATCATTTTTTAACGTATCTCATGTCTCATCTTAAGATATGAAGTCAAGTTCATCAACAATCATACCGAAGTCATTTTAAAAATTTTGATTTATAATCCTTGAAAATTTATTACTTCAAGTCTGAAAATTAAATTTATTAACATATGACGTAAAACTTCAGTAGAGTTTGCTCAATTAACACAATCTAGAGCAAAAATGCAAAATATTAGTAATTTGAACTTAGGATACATTGTAAATTATTGCACCTATGATTCATATGTTTTCACTTAATTAGAATGAATAAGGTTTTTGTTTAAGAAATAGATTTTATTGCTTGGTCAAGTTTCTATTCAAACCTTTTTTGTTTTCTCTCTTTAATTTCCATCATTATTTTGTCGCGATAAAATGTTATTATGTATGTGTGTTTGTATAAATTGTTCATCAAAATGTAACATATTTTTTAATTATTGTAAAAGTGAGTTAAAAATTTACTTAATGAGCTTTAATAAGATATTTTTTTGGTTGAGAAAAAAGTTATATGTGTGACTCAAAGACATTAGTCTATTGTTGTGTACATCGATACAATGCAAAAGTAGAAACAAAAACATAAAGGAAGTATTGGAAAAGAAAAATAAATATTAAAAAAGTTAGAGATAACAAAGGTAATATATGTCACTTTTCATACATTATTATTATTGTGTACATTGATATAATACAAAAAAAAAGATAAAAGGGAAATGAAATATTAATTGAGGAGAGAGATAACTCCATAAATATATCAATAACTATTTTTCTTTTTGTAAAAATATTTTCCACCTTGGCAATTTGTGAACTCTCCAAGTGCTTAGGTGGCAAACAATTACTTTTAAATTGCCATAATATTATGTATAGATAGATAGATTCTCTCCTTTATAAGTATATAGTACACAAAGTCGATACAAGCTACTCTAAAAGATTGGAAAATATGTAAGTGCCCCTCTTGAGTTTAACATACAAAAATCTAGCATGGACCATATGTATAAGAACCACATTTTCTCCTCAACCCTAATTATAGGGGAGGAGGCTAAAACAAATTGTACGTGCCTTCATAATTTCTAATCTAAATAATAGGTTTCAATTTCACGACGAACTTTCCTTGTCTAGTAAACCTCTATGTAGAGATAGCTTTTTTTGATTTTGTAGGGTAGTTTCACTAGATCTTGGCTGAGGAATCAGGGTAGAGAATTATAAATATTTTATCTTGTCATTACTTTGGGAAAAAACCCTATTCAATAGCATGTTCAATTAAAAATCCAAATGACCACTATAAAGTAATCATAATATTAGGAGGATTAAGAAAAGAGTTTATCACCAAGCGTGGTGGTGTAATGTACATATCTGTTGACAGAATCGAGGTAGCTCGTTGGATTTGGCAAATCCAATAAGATTCCAGCTGATTGAGGCAATCAATGGCGATTCGGGATTACAAAATGGACTGGGAATCTCAAAACAGCTTGATTTGGCCATTGATGGGCAGTACAAAAAGAAAACCTTTGATTTTTTACAATACGACACATATGTCCTTTTGTTTGTAATTTTTTTAATTATGCAAACGCCTTATTGCATCTTTTTTCCCCGTAGCCTTATGGTATCATTTATTCATCGCAAATATATATGGTCGTGTACTTTATTTGGGTAAATTTTAATCAACTTTAAGGTTAATCACATTGTGCTTAATTTCATACTCACAACTTGTATCAAACTTTCTACTGTCTAGCCTAACCAATACAAGAAGTTTATGATCCAACTAGCTCGTAAGGAATTAAGATATGCAATTATTAAAGATGTAAGTTCATTGAGTTACTTTTTATTCCTGACAAGTATTTTGGGAACTTGCTAAATTTTTAGTGGTCTCAATAATTTGAGTTATTGAGAGAAATTTCATATAAAAAATACAAATATAGAAGCGATAATACAATAACTAAACTTGAATTGTGGTCAATCTTATATTCTTATTCCTTTTGTTCTCCAAAGATATTCTTCAATTCTTTCATATCCTTTATCAACAAATCCTAATAGGTTTAACTACTTCATCATCTCTATCATTTAATGGCGGAAAATTTTTAGCTCCAACTTTGATTGGACGCACAAGCTACAACCAGCTACATGTCAGTTTGTTATTGGTGGACTCACCTTTCTTTTTTCTTAATATTTAATGTTGTCAATAATGCAAAATAGATCAATAATTAAAATATAAAAAAGTAAGATGAACTCACTACTAGGAAATTGACATGTAGCTGGTTGGAGTTTGTGCATCCAACCAAGATTGGAGTTTTTTTTATATAATGGCGATTAATAAGATTGGAGTTTTCTTAATATTTAATGTTCTTAATAATGCAAAATAAATAAAAAATTAAAATATAAAAAAGTAAGATGAACTCACTAATAAGAAACTGAGATGTGGTTGGTTGGAGTTTGTACGTCCAATCAAGATTGGAGCTAAGAATTTTTCTTTAGTGGCGACTTCAATTCAACATCTCACACCTATAACCAAGGTTACATTTTCATTGTCTAATTCGCGTAACTCGATTACATTGTGTAATGATATATAATCTCAGGGGTCGTTTGGTTTTGGTGATACTTAAGTCAATGCATTGCGATCAATGCATGTATTGTAATATACATGCAATTTAGGAAAATGATGTAATGTACTTTACATTGTTTGATTTTGGTGATAGTTCTTTTAGTATTCAACATGTTATATTACTTTTTGTGAGAAATATCACTTTTGCCCTTGCTTTTATCAGACCATATATATATAACTAGGGGTATACTTGGAACAAAAAGAAACCAAACATTTTTCTCAAAAAATCTCAAGTTTTAGTAAAGATAGTACTATCACTCATTTTGAGTAATAGTTTTCATCACATCAAACAAAAAATTCAAAAAACAATACATTGTAACTATTCCAATCAAACAATCACCAAAACCAAACGATACCTTAACGACAATTTCGCAAATTTGAATATTGTTTTGCGTAGGCATTGAACAAGAGAGAGAAGTGGATAGCAAACTGATGAAGGTACCCTTGGTTTGGGGAGGAATCCTGGCGAAAATTTGACAATGACACTGACAGTCACTGTAATATTACGTGATGAACAGGGGCAAAAAGGTGAAATGCATACAACTAAGTGACTAACCTCTTCTCTCTAACAAGAAGAAGAAAAAAAGCTCAACACACAATATAAAAGAAAAGGGCAGTGGAGAGAGAGGAATAAAGCAAAGCTAATGGGGAAGAAGAGAGGGGAAGGAGGAAGAAGTTGTCTTGTCTATGGAGGCCAACTGGGCAGCTCAGCAGCCTAGTCAGCACAAAAAAGGAAATGATACTCATTAATTTAACCCCTCTTCTCTTCTTCCTCCATTCCCAAAACCCCCCAATAGAGAGAGCCTCCCAACGACATCTTCATTTCTGCTCCATTCTTCTCCTCCTTCATTCCATTGCCAGTCCTTCCAAACCTCTTCTTCTAAATCATTCCCTTACCCCTAGAATTAGAAGCCTATCTGGTCCAGAAGGTAATCAATGTTTTTTTTCCCTTTATCATATCATCTATCATCATTACAAGCTTCCATTCCCTCTTATTTTGTACCGTTTCTTCTGTATCTCCCCTTCTCTTTCTCAGCTCACTGGTTTCCCAGTTTGGTAGGGGAGAAATGAGGAACGGGAGAGGGATTTAGGGGGGAATGGGAATCCAAATTTTCTCTCTTTCCTTAATTTTAATGACTGGGGTCTTTGTCAATACTCTTTTCTTTGTCTTTTATTAATTTTCCTTCGTTGAACTCTGCTGTTTGTGTTTGGTTGCTGAGTAAACCGAGAATCCTTGTCACTGAGTGGGAAATTTCAGGTTCGCAGCTGCTGTTGGCTTTTATTTCTTTCTAAAGCCTCTTCCTTTTTCCGTTTCCTCAGGGGAGTGATTGATCAGTGAAGCAGAGGGAAACAGAGAAGTAGATAGCGAAGGAAGAAGGAGAGTAGAGGGTCTAAGATGTTGTCGTGCATAACGTGCACGAAGCCGTCGGCGGATGACGAAGGGGAGGAGGTCGGCGGCGGAGTAGCGTCGGCGCGTGGAGGGAGTGATACTCCCAATACTAAAGAAGCCGTCAAAAGCCTGACGAATCAGGTCCATCCTTTCCTTTCCCTTTTTTCACTCCTTCATTTAATACTCTGTCTCTGTGCATTTCGTTTTCAAAGAGTTTCTTTTCCTTGTTGGTTGCTTTGGTTCTTGTTCCCTTCTTCTAAAATTTCAATGTGCTCGAAATGATCCGAATGTGCTCAACTAGTCTCCATTGATAGATTGACCCAATCATGTTATTGGTATCACTACATTCAAACCCACCATTGAAATCATGCACAACAACTCAACAAGATCATCCCTCAATAGCTTTGATGCCTAAAGATTGGAGCTTGGTATGTATGCAATGTTGCAAATTTGATATGGTGGGGTCCAAAGGAGTGGTGGTGGTAGGGACCAAGGAGTGCAAATATGCCTTAATTAGTTAGGGGGGGCATCTCTTTCTTTTTTGGCATCTTTCACGTTTACATGTCAATTGCTAACTGGGGCTGCCCTTACTTAGCTCCTTTCCTTCCTTACTTGCTTCAATGCTCTGTTTTCTAGTGTTCTTTTGCCCTCCTCTGCTGCTGCTAGTTCGCTTTCTTTCTCTTCCCTTCTCTTCTTTCCAACCAATCACTGGCCAGCAGTTATGGTTGCCTCTGCTGCTGGAGTTTTGTATTGATATCCTTTTCTTTCTCACATTGCTTTTTTCCTTTGTGTGTGTGTGATCCTTCCTGGTCTAGAAAAGCAAAGTGGCCTCTGTCTCACTCTCTTGCTTTTGTGTTTCTTTTTGTTTCTTGTTTTGATTCCCGCCCCTCCCCCTCAGTGTACCCTCTTATTCCTTTCTCATGTTTCCTTTTGTTTTCTTTTGTGAAACTGGGATTGAGAATTTGAGATAACATCAATCGGGAAAACTAGGCTTTTAGATACTGTCCTTGTTAGGTTGTTTGGTGCAAAAAATGCGATGTAACTTGGATCTTTTAGTTAACCGGTTTTTAGATCCTCCCATAACGTTACAATTTGAAGAACCAATAAAAACGGTCATTGGCAGACAACAAAACAACACGAGGATGTTGTTGAGGGAGACAAGAAAACAAGAGGGTTTGATTCATTGGGTGTCCTGTAGTGCATTTGGAGGCCAAAATGATTTCCCAGGATTCCTGGGTGGAGGAGGGTTTCCAAGTCCTTTACTTCGTCTTCTATACTAATACGAACTCCCCAGTCCCCACTATAGATAAAAGAATAGGAAACCAATATGGCTGGAGCACAATGGAGAATTTGGTTCCTTAATTTCCTCTAATATAATGAGGTGGGTCTGAAACCAATATGGGTATATCTTGGTTAAGTGTTGTTTTTAAGGTACATGATTTGTTCAAAGGAGGGAAAAAGGAAATACTCAGCAACAACAGCATCTCATTTCATCAGACAAGAACAAGGAATTTGCCGTGGAAGGGTTGTGGCTTTATAAAGATGATGGTGGATTGGTTTGTTAATGAAGGAAAGAAAAAGATGCCATAATAATAATATTAATCATCCTTGTTGTTATGACCCACCATATAGAATTCCTGTCTGTCTGATCCTTTCTTTTTTTCTTTTTACATTCCAAAGAAACATATCATATGATATAATTGGGATGTGAAATGAAGGTAGGGACTTTGCTTTTCTTCCCCATAGTTGTTAGTGTAGGCAAGAATTGAATAAAACATAAACACGAAAAGGTTGGTTTTGTGTTGGAAGAGGACCAGAATTGTCTTTTGTTGACTCATGTTTTTCCAATCCAATGTTGTGAGTTTGCTTGATCATGTTTTGGCCTTTCCCTTTTCCCTCTCATGCTTTCCCACCTAAAAAAAGATTGTATGATATGTTTGTAATAGATCGATGCAACAGGAATAAGGTAATGAAGACATCTCAATTGTGTGATTCCATCTTCAATGAATGTATTATTACGTGTATTCTAATTTGATTAATTTTTATCTGATTTTCTTATCTTATTTTTTAGATCATTCTTAGACCAACCTGCTTAAAGTTATAGGTTTGAAATATGAGAAATTTTACAATGCTATATAATATTGGTACTATAGGTTTTTGTCTTTATGATACAACTTAAAATTGTACATTTACGTTATGGTACAACTTCAGATTGTACCTATACTTTTTGTACAAATTCTTTTATGGTACAACTTGAACTTGTACCTTTATGTGATGGTACAACTTCAAGTTATAAAGTTGTACCATAACATAATGGTACAAATTGTTTTATGGTATAACCTAAACTTGTACATTTAATGTTATGGTACAACTTTGAGTTGTACATTAAAACACCAATGCTATATAGCATAGTAGAAGTGCTCTTGAAATATAAGCATCTTCCACATTATTCCTTTCGTTTAAATCAACTTTTATTTCTCTGTCATTGTTTTCATTGCTCTAAATCCTCTTAGAACTATAGAGTATAGACAAACGAGTTGAAATGATGCAAAGTCATTAGAACTAAACGGCTAAACATAGCTTTGTTGCTGATTATTCGACTAAACTCAGGTGTAATCAGTAATTAGACTACGTTTTGTTGACTGAGACCCTCTTAAAGTTAAATGTGTTAATACATTGGCATAATACTAAATGAAAAGAAATGCGAAACTTTCCTCTAATTCTCTAGTTTGATTCTTTTCAGATCAAGGACATGGCACTGAAGTTATCAGGCACATACAAGCCCTGCAAGCCCTGCACAGGAGGATCATCCAGCAGCAACTACAAGAAAGGACACCACCGCCCTTACCCTGACTTGGATGCAGCCTCGGAAGGAGGCGTTCCATATCCTTACTTCGGTGGCGCGGCAAGCTCCAGTTCCACGCCGGCATGGGACTTTCCTGGCCGCGGTGGCGGAGGGAGAAGCGACACCAGATTCGCTTCAGGGGATTCATGCGATGTTGTGATCGATGATGAGCCCAAGGAATGGATGGCTCAGGTCGAGCCTGGCGTCCACATCACCTTCGCTTCCCTCCCCAATGGCGGCAACGATCTCAAACGGATTCGGTTCAAGTGTGTGTTAATTCATAGCTCTCTACAACTACAACTCAGGGTTGCTCTGTTGTTGTTGCTACAGAAGCTGACATTGTTTAGGGGTTTGTTTTGAGTTGTGTTTTTGAAGCCGGGAGATGTTCAACAAGTGGCAAGCGCAGAGTTGGTGGGGTGAGAACTACGACAGGATCATGGAGCTTTACAATGTGCAGAGATTCAACAACCGCCAGTCTCTCAACACTCCTCCAAGGTCTCAAGATGAGGTAAAGTCTGCCCCACTCTGATCTCGTATGAACCGAATCGTTGTTCCTCACTGTTTTTCCTCCCCTAATTTCAGCATAGAGATTCTACTTATTCGAGATTAGGCTCTGCAAGGGAAAGCCCCATGGCGCCATCATTCACACCAAGGAACTACTACAGGCCATCTCCTGGGATGATGGAACAGGGCAGCAGCCACCATTACCCTCCCGGTTACGGTCTGGGAAGCGGCCCGAGAGGCGAGGCTTCCTCGATGGAAGCCTCGAGAACCACAACCTCTTCCCAAGACGAGCCGTCGATCTCGGTGAGCAATGCCAGCGATTTGGAGGCGGAGTGGGTCGAGCAAGACGAGCCTGGAGTGTACATTACCATCAGACAACTCGCGGATGGTACCAGGGAGCTCCGGCGGGTTCGGTTCAGGTATGAAATTTAACGGTCAATAACTGTTTTTTGGTTTTCCATTTCAAATTTCCCGACAAGTATAGCAAACCCTGATGCTTCACATTGATGTCTTGTTTGCTTGTGTGTGCAGTCGAGAAAGATTTGGGGAAGTGCATGCTAAGTCATGGTGGGAGGAGAACAGGGATAGAATACAATCTCAATACCTGTAGAGAGAGAGAGAGAGAGGTTTGGAACAGAGCAAAGGTAAAAAATTTTTAACAGCATCTCAAAGGAAGTGGAGGGTTGCAGTTGCAGATTGGATATCCTCCAGGGAAAGATATGATATGAGTGTTCTTTCTTTCTTCCAAGTTGTGTTCACACAGTTCACTGAACATGTGCTTAGAAAAGTAATTACGGCAATTGGGAAGAACATTGGCTGAAAGAGTAAAAGTGCAGCGTTACTGGATGCCCGCTTTTTGGCCTGGAATGTGAGTCTGTAACCATAGTAATTCTTTCTACGTCACTGCGATCTTTAGGGTAGGGGGATAATGTGTACTTTCATCAATAGAAACTGTTGGGCATGTGACTCGGATTCCGCTGCGCCAAAGAAATACAGACACCAAGAGACGGACGCATCAGCATCGGCGCGAGCGAACACATCGGCGAGCGCCAACACCAAGAGGCGGACGCGCCAGCACCGGCGCGAGCGAACACATCGGCGAGCGCGAATACCTAGAGACGGGCGCATCAGCGCCAGCGCACCCGAGGGCAGTCCGAGTCCAGTATTGACTAAATTAGCGAGTACGGGAAACGACGCCGTGTCCCACCTATTGGGTGGTCACATCACAGTCCTAGGTATAATGAAAGGCTAAATGTACTTGTTCTAGGTAGGGATATGGCCTAGTCTTCTGACATGTCAATAGTCATGTCACCATGACAGGTCACCATGTAACTCACCCACCACGGTTATTCTAACATTTCTGACTCTATCTCTAAGATTATCAACTTCTCTCTCTAAGATATTACCCTCTGAACTCTATTCGTAATTTCCTCAGTTCTTCCCTCGACGGTTATTCTCCCCTTGCTTACTCTCCTTGACCCATTTTCCCGAGTCTCACTCCTACACCTAGTTAGGCTCAAACAGAAACTTTATATAGCTCAAAAGGAAATGGAATGGGGGATGCAGATTTTTATTTGGTGAGGTTGACACAATGCACCATTGTCGATGAAAGTATTATTCATATCAACGGATGAAATGACGGAGTTATAAGTCTGTCTAATTTTCATATGAAATGTGGTAGTCATCTAACATTTAAACGGGACTTGCTGTATTTCGTTTAAGAAACCACAAAAAGCCCAGAATCCCCAGCCTAAAGTTTACTTCTTCCCCAATGCTATAGATAGAATAGAATCAACATCTGTTGTTTATTCAAAGCAAGGCTAGATTCAAACCATAGTGGCGTGCAGCAGTCCCGACGATCATCCAAGACTTCCAGGTCCCCATTCATTAACCAGACGACGCCCTCGCCGTTGCAAGGAAATGGTCGCGAATAGCAGCCCATTTAGTGACGAGCTTGTCACGGGGCGGCCAGCTTTCTTCAATCACACGGATATCCGAAATCCTTCGACTCCATTCCGACAAAGACGGATGACGTTCCTCGTCCACGATTTTGAGGCCGAGGATCTCTTCGAAGACCGGCACCAAGTTGACCAGCCAGCCCAATGCGAAGTCAGGAATTCCGATCTCTTCCCCGCCGAAGAATTTCTTGCCTTCCAACTCTGCCTCCAGCAACTTGAGCTTCTCTGCAATCGAAGCCAGTCCTTCCTCTTGCTCCCTCCCTTTCTTTGTGAAGGCTTGCCACATCGATGGAAGCGCCTGCGCCATCAACAATTCCAATAACTCGAGATTTACTAAAACATGAAATGGGCAGCTCAAATTTGGTTCTCATCGGAAGGAATCAGTCGAATCCCAATAACTAACCCGTAATAGTAGATCGTACGTACCTTCTCGTCCATGAATTTGGCCCAGAAGCGAGCTGAGGCGCGCTGGATGGGATCCTGAGGCAACAAACTAGGTGGATTCTGGCTCCAAGTCTCGTCGATGTACTCGAGAATCACGAGCGATTCACAGATGGGCTTGCCGTTGTGAATGAGAACAGGGACCTTCGTGTGGACAGGGTTGTACTGCAGAAGCAAATCGCTCTTGTTGGTGAGGTCTTCATCGACGGACTCGTAGGGTATGCCCTTGAGCTTCAGCGCCCAAACGACCCGCAGACCGAACAGGCTCGACCATGTCTTCAGCAGCTTCACTTCTCCTTGATCGGCCATGGCGATGGGTTTTTGGTCTGTTTTGTGATGGCTGCAGTGGACTGGAGGTCCTATTTGATTGTTATGTACATCTCTCAATGGCAATGGCATATTTAAAGAGATATTGATAGCTCTGTTGTGGGCAATGCATCTCTAATCTCTTTGGCTGGCTGGACCTTGACTTTTGTGTCTTGTAGACTGTAGTAGCCGGGTCTTAGTTTTCCACTTTGGAGCAATAATTAAGCTGTAAGATGACATAGTAATCACAGTTTTGTCCGCATGTGATGAAGTGATGGAAGCCGTCCTAATTATATTCCTAACTCATAAAAACATCCTCGAGAAAGTTACAAGGTGTAGGGTGTGTAGAGTGGGTAAAATACCTCGGTACTACTTAAGTTTATGAATTGAGACACATATTATTTAGGTTTGAATAGGGCATCGGGCATTAGGGGATTGCTATTCATCGCCCTAAAAATCCTTATTCGTCGCCCTAATTATGTTAAATTTACTATAATACCCATTGCCCTTATTTCACTTTCTCGTCCTAACTTTAAATATTCTACTGTTCTTGTTCCTATATGAAACCCAAGTCGGAGTTCAAGAGATCGATAACCTATTTCTGTCCCACTTCTTTCTTCCCCTCTGCCTTGTTCTCGTCCTAACTTTAAATATTCTCCTATTCTTGTTCTTATATGAAACCCAAGTCGGAGTTCAAGAGATCGATAACCCATTTCTATCCCACTTCTTTCTTCCCCTCTGCATTGGTTTCTAATTCTATATTGTATGTGAGAAGGTCATGAGCAGGGGAGACTGGTTGGAATCCCTCACTTTCTGCCCAACCAAACTAAACAGAACAGTAAAAGAAACAAACTTAGAATGTAAAGGAAAAGGAGCGAGCACAATCAATAAAGAAAACACGTTAACAACTTGGAAAGCAAAATAAGACAGCAGGGAGATAAAGGGATTGAAAGAAGAAGGCACGTACCAGGAACAAGTAGAGAAAGAGAACGGAGAGTAGTTAGGTTGTGGATTAGAGCTGAAACAGATTCTCTCCGATATGGAAGGATTATTGGGATATAATAATTTGGACTCATAAATTTTTTATTCAGTCTGCTTAGATTTTCGTTTTACTTCATTTCTTTTACAGATTTATCGCTCTAGAAAAGGAGAGTGTATAGTGAACAGCGGCGGCGGCCGGAACTTTGCTCGTGGGAACTGGGAAGTTAGGGGTTGAGGATTGAAATTGAAAATAGGGGTATAAACGTCAATGTAATATGGTTTAGGGCGAAAAAAGTTAAATTTTAGGGTGACGAATAGCGATTCAGCATTAAATTCGCCAAAATGTGCATCCATTTAGTTTTTCATCCAACCCAAAACTTTAATTACCTTTTGGTACCCAAATTTTTAAAAACATCCAAAATTATATTTCAACAAGTATTATCTAAGATAAAAATTAGAAAAACTTCTAAACATAATATTACTAGAATGACTAATGAAATTTTTTCAATAAAATAGATAAATTAGTAAAAATAATAAACAAATATCAAGAAGGAATAATAAATATATAAAATCAATATTATAAGTTCTATTTAAACCGCCAATACAATTCGAAGCACCACTAATAAATATACTAGAATATATAATTAAAAATACTTATAATGATAATTATCCATAAAAAATACTTATAATGATAATTGATTCTAAATTTCTTAATCAAAAATTGGTTTGTATAAACAAAGTTTTCAAAAGATTATTCCAACTAAACAATAAAAAATAATGTTTTTCATAAGTTTGAAAGATTTTTTACAATGACAAAAAGGAGAAGAACCAATTCTGAAATTTAGAAGACGAAATATTCCAAGAATATTCTGTCAACTTTAACATAATGCACTTGACACTAACCTTAAGTGATACCAGGTCCACACACTACAAAAAAGACAGTCAGTTATGACCAGACGTTTGGCGTTGGAAAAGACCATTTTCGTTGGAAATGGCTAGTTACGACAAAATACAGTCGTTGGTCGACATGGGAAAAAGTCCCATCGCAAAAAGTGGAAATTCGTTAGGGCGTCATAAAAAAACTGTTTGTGACAAATATTTGGCTGTCGTTGCATAAATTATCGTGGTCTGAAATAAATTATACTTGATGCTCAGAAAATGACGAAGTTTATTTGTGATAGAATCTTATCGCCGCCAGTGGTCGCCGCTCAGCCAAGAAACCCAGAAACGTAGTCGTAGCGACAATTGAATCATGGCGATTGGGTTTTGATGAAGAAGTGAGTCTGGGTTGCCATTAGATCTGGGCATCGTCTTAGTCATCTTTTTCCCGAAATACCTTGCTCGTCACCATCTTCCCATCATCATCACTTTCTCTTTCTCGCCTTCTACAGATCAACATCACTACACGCAACACAAAAATCAATTAAACTCCACCAAATAAGGAAAATTCCTCTGGACAAGAAACAGAGGGACAAACAAAAACAACCCAGCTCGTCTCCTGCTCTTTCAAGTAACCAGCGCGGCCTGCTCCCAGTGACAAAATCCTAGTCCAGGCTTTAAAGTGGGTGCAGAGAAGGTAGATCCAGAGTATTGAAGGCCCCTGTAGTCGCCGTAAGAGAGGAAGCAACATCGCCTTTTGACAAGGACGAAGCAGCGCTGGCAGCCGTGGCGAGGTCGGCGACTCGCCTCTTCTTGTGTCCTCCCTGCTATTAAGCCTCAATCGAAGCTCACTTGGTCGAATTCACAAGGGAGTGTTTTGATTAAGGGGTATTGTTCATTAGAGGAGTTGACGGCGGAAGATGAAGAGAGGCGATGTATTAGGGTAGGGATTCCTTTTTTTTTTTGGAGGGTAGGGTTTTCTGTAGAGGGAAAGAAGATGAAGTGAGATGAGAGAGAAGGGATGTAGAGGATTAATTCCATAAATATTGTTTTTTTTCTAATTACCACTGATATGGTGGTTTAAAAACAATTGACACATATATTGTATATTTTTGTACGTTTAGAGCGACAAAGCCCGAGATTCAGGCGCTGGCGCTTTTTGTTGAGTTTTCAATAAAAGCCACGGGCGGCGCGACTGGGGCGTTGGCGCTTTTTATATGGTCTCAGAGCCGGCGTCCGAGACTAAGGTGTGGCCGCTTCCTCCCTCTTCCACTCCAGCACCATATATACTTCTCCACCTTTCCTTCGGTTCTTCACCACCAAAAAAATCCACGAAGTTACGAGAGAAGCTCTGGTGTTGCTATCTGGTTGCTGGAAAGATGGCTAATAATAGGTAAGAGACGTATTTATTTTTTAATGTGTTCTTCAAATACTATAATGATTTTGTTCAATTAGTAATTAGCGAGTTTGTTTTTTATGTAGTGGTTTTAGAAGATTTGAACTAGATGTTCGGTGGAAATCAGAGAAAGTAGAGGACAATTTGGGCGTCCATTTCGTTGGTGGTAGAAGTTTTCAGTTGACTGTTCCATCTAGGGTGAACTATCAGAAACTTTGTGATAATCTAATTCGGAGAATACGGTGTAAAGACGAAGCAGTACATGATAGTGTTGTGATTACATGTTTCACTTACTGTCTTCCAGAGTGGAAGAATGGTGTTTTATTCCATTATGCGATACCTATTGTGGATGATGATAGCTTGAATGTGCTTTGGAATTTTATGGCACAAAATCCTTATTGTTTGGGTGATGAGATACATGCTGAGGTTAGTGAGGATCGGGGTGGAGAGGAAGAAGATGACACATGGAGCATGCCATCCGATAATGACTAAGATGACGGTGATGACGGAGAGGAGGAAGATGATGATGATGATGATGATGATGAGGAGGAGGAGGAGGAGGAGGAGGGAGGAGAGCAACATAATTATCCTCTGTATTTTTACTTGCTGGGTAATGAAGAGGACGATGAATTATATTATGTGTTGCTGATTCATATGGCGTAATTCCAATTCCTATTATTGCTGGTTTTGATGGAGAATTCTACAAGGGGCAGATATTCCACTCCAAACAACCTGCACAGGTGGTGATTAAACACTACGCACTACAACGCAACTTTCAATATAATGTGGTGGAGTCGTCACCTTCGATCTGGAAGATCAGATGTTTGAAGCACAAGGATGACAATTGTCCTTGGATGGTGCGGTTTGGATGTCGAGATGTGGGAGGCCGATGGATTGTGAGAAAGGCCAAGTTGGTGCATTATTGTAGGTGCCCAACCAAATCTGAGTGTTCTAACTGTGCAGGCCGAGATGAAAGATAAGTTTAATATGCAAGTTACTTACAAAAGGGCTTGGTATGGGAAACAAAGAGCATTGGAGAAGTTTCATGGGAATTGGGAAGAATCCTACGAGTATTTGCAAACATTCTTGCGGGTGGTAAAGAGAAAGATGCCAACATCGGTGATTGATTGGGTAAGAGTTCCTTCAGCTCAACCAGGACATTTGATATTTCAGCGAGTATTTTGGGCTTATCGACCTTGTATAGATGGATTCAAGAATTGTCCAGGAGTCATGGTTGTTGATGGAACATTTCTTACTGGAAAGTATAAAGGCGTGCTACTCATGGCGAGCTCATTTGATGGCCGGAAGAAGATTTTTCCAATTGCATTTGCCATAGTGGAGAGCGAGAATACTGATAGTTGGCCATGGTTCATTAGTCACGTTCAAGGTTTGACCGATCGAAATGATGTCTGCATCATCTCGGATAGACATGCAGGACTCTATGAAGCCATGGGTGACATCGAAGAGGTTGGGAGTGGAGGTGGTGCATGCGACACTACGCAAGCAACTTGCAAAGAAAGTCTAAAAGCAAAATCATGTATAAGCAACTATTTTGAGTCGGTAAGCCTTCTTCATTTAATTTTGTTATTTACTTTAATGTAATTTTGTCATGATTTTATCTAACTCGTGTGGTTATTTACTTTGTTAGCCGGAGAAAAATGCTTGGAGAAGTTCGATCGCCAAGTTGAGAAATTTAAGAAGGTGGCCGCTAATAGAAATATTTCTTGTGATAACTGGGTGGACCAACATCAGATTCTTTGGAGCTTAGCACATTACAACTACAATGGTGGGCGTTGTTGGTCTATCATGACATCCAACATGGCAGAGAGCATCAATGGTGTTTTCAAAGGTATTAGTTCACTTCCTATATCTTCTCTTGTGCAACATACCTATTGGCGATTGTTGGGGAAACCTCCCCGCTCTGCGCCAATCATCCACCAAAAGTAGGTACTGCAGATGAACTGAACCTCTAGACCGATCGGGGAACATAACACCTCTCAGCAGAGACAGAGCATAATTAAGCTCGTGCAAACTGCTCTACGAGCGCAGTAATCAAACCCAGATCACCTGTAAAAGGGGACAATGGCAGAACCGTAAACAAGCCAGCATCAACGAGATACGGCTCGTAAAGTGGATGGTATCTGACTAAATTGCTCGTACCTCGAATGTGGTAAGGTCGATCACCAACCGATAGTGAACAAAACTTATATTAATTCAATTTCATGCGTACTTCTAAATTCAGTTAACCTAATATTTATATTTATATATCTAATTTAAACTTATTCTAATTCTATTCTTGATTTAATTCTATTTTAATCTAATCTAAAGTTATTCTATTTCTATTCTAATTTCAGTTTTGTTCAGCTAATAAATAAAGTATAGAAATAGTTTCAAAACTTACCTCGTTTGCCCAAACTGCGTCAATACAATGGTGACCGTGTCCCCAAAGAAGTACCGGATCCACCGGAGTTGTATCAATTGTCGCAGGTGGTGGTCTCATGGAATAACTATCCATAAGCCTAGGAACTGGAAAAAAAAAATCAGAACATAAAAAAAACTCCCCGCCGCCGGCAGGAATCCGGCCACCGCCGACGAGTTGCTCACCCCTGTAGCGGTCGCCGCCGCCGCCACGACCCTGTCCTCGTCGCCCTCAACCTCTTCCTCTGCCGGAGCGGGCCTGCTCGTTGTCGGACGTGGCTGCTAGAGCAGAACCAGATCTTCTAGGAAGAAGAAAGCGACGACGCCTTCGTTGGAGACCTGGCGCGGCCGCTTAAGACTGAGGTGTGGTCCTCCCTTCTCTTGGCGCTGCCGCCGCTGCGTGGGGTTGGGAGTTGATGGGGGTGAGGGAGGGAGAGCGACTGCTGTGCTCTGTTGTGTGAGGGAGGGCGAGAGTGAGTGGTGAGGAAGAAGATAAGAAGAAAAAAGAAGGTAGCGCGCCCGCCCGAGACTCGGGCGTTGGCGCCAATTGAAAAATTTCAAAAAGCGCCGGCGCCTGAGTCTCCGGGGGGGGGGGGGGCTGTCTGAGTCTCGGGCGTGACCGCTGTTAACCTACAAATAAAAAAGCACAATATATGTGTCAATAGTTTTTAAACCGCCATATTTGTGGTAAATATAAAAGAAAACACAATATTTATGGCATTAACCCGAATGTAGAGAGACGAGAGAATGAAAGTTCTCTCTAGGGTTATAAAAATGTAAGGTTTGGTAAAGTTGGGTAAACTTAAAATAAAAAATAAATTTACGTTTGACAAAGGGCGACCACTCATTCTCTTCTCCCGCCCACTAATTTTTAGGCAAAATCAAAAAGGGAAAGGCGGTTTGGGAAATCTTTTTGACATACTAGGATGGAATTATCGGTGACAATTTTAAAATTTTGAGAATTAAAATAAAAAACACAAATTAATAAACTATGTCGGTTAATTATAATTAGGGGTGTGCAGTGGTCCGGTCCGAACCCAACTCACGAGAACCGTGGTCCATTAGTGAAAGATATCTTAGGACTAAGGACCATACCATCATTGTATACGGTCCTTTTGGTCCGCTCAGTCCGGTCCAAATATCAATTTAGACCATATTTTATTATGTAGTTATAAAATTCGTAGGACCAAGGACCCAATCGCATTATACTCAGTTTGGTACGGTCCGGTCTTAACGTCGGTGTGGTCCGGTACGGAATGGACCATTGCACACCCCTTGTTATAACCGACCTGAAATAAACTCTTCATTTCCTTTTTTGGGTTACAATTATGATAATAAAAGATGATTATATTAATGGTCAAATTCAGCTTGTACATATATTGTGATGGTTAAATTGAACTTGTACATATACTTTATGATAAAAGTTCAATTGAAATTGTTGTACATATATCTTAATGGGCAAATTGAACTTGTGCTTGTATAGTAATGGTCAAATTGAGCTTGTATATATACCTTAACGGTCAAATTAAAATTGTACATATATACCTTATGGTAAATGTTCAATTAAACTTGTACGTATACCTTAATAGACAAATTGAACTTGTACCTATACACTAATGGTCAAATTGAGTTTGTATGATTTACATGTATTAAGATTAATAATAATTTAACATGGAGGGTCAACTAAGCTAATTTGAAGATCATTCTCCTGTTAAAAAGATAAAATAGTGTGAGTATAAATAATTAAACTCTTGTTAAAGTAATTAAAAATAGACATTGATTAAGTGTTAACATAAAATTAGTGTAGCCAAATTGATTTAGTATGTTGTTTTTTATTTAGAGGACATAGGTTCAATTCTTGGTAAGGGAGAAAATTTTCTTTAATAATAATAGTAAAATGAGAAAAAGTACAAAAATTTACGGTTCGGGGTCCGAATCGATTATCATAACTTTGTAAAATTTAATATCCCTTTTAAGTATTACTAAATAGTAATTTTAGATTGAAAGTTCACAAAAATAAGATAACTTTAATTGGTAAGAATCAACTTTGCAAACTTAAGGTGGTTTGTTCAATCCATCTTGATGTAGGTTTTTAAAATTTTGTCATTACTCAATAATATATTATTTCTCATACATTAGTAAATTAGTAAATAATAGCACAAATAAGAAAGTTCACAAACAGTAAGATAGTGGAATTGGTGTGTACTTAATGTTGTAAACTCATGGTTAACAGTTCAATCCTCCAAACATATACAATTTTTTTTGTCTATAATACATTATTTCCAACCGAATTATGTCTTTCGTCAGTAAAAATCACTAGTAACTAAAACATTGTTAATTTTAACATTTATTTTTGACGACCAATAGCTTGTCAT